TTTGTAGGTGTTCAGAATGGTTTGATCCCTATCCAGCTGAATTCCTGAGAGGAGACGAAATCCAGGTCTCCTACTCCTCCGCCATCTTGCTCCGCCCCCTATACCACATCTTCTTTATCCATTCATCTGTGTCACTCAACTTCTAACTCCAATGCCCACACCTATTCTGAAACAATCCGGCTCTAACTTTGAGTAATAGCTACATTTATCACCTGCCTCCTGAATAGGACACCAGTAGGGCCTTTACCTTTGCTCAGCATCAGAATTACAGAGTGTTTTGTTTATTTCTTTTCCTCTCCAAGTCCCCTTCCCCTTCTCATATTCTAGTTTGATTGATCTGAGTAGATTTTGGAATACTCTTTATTACCCAGGTGATTCTGATGTAACCTGTCCATTGGCTAGAATTTGGGAAGCATTATTCTGGATTGAAAATTGTCCAGAGGGTTGGGGAAATAATATGAATGAGGATGCCAAGCCAGGTATGAACATGGTTTGTTCAGTGTTGGGTCAAGGAGCGGGGGCTATCAAGGAGTGGCTGATAAGGTGTTTGAGGGGAGCACCATGAATTATGTGTATAATATGGGTCCAGATTATGAAGAAATTTATTGGAAAGAATAAAGCAGCTAAACAGGCTTTGTAATCATTACCTACCATGCCTAGATTTGTCAGGGCTAGATCTTTGCAATAATTCTCATAAAATGTAACAACATCCAGAGATCATAAGACAGAAATTTAGAAAGTCAAAGATGTATTTCCATGATTCTTGGTGTATTAATTTTAATTCCAGTATAATTAACATACAGTGTTATATTAGTTTTAGGTATACAATATAGTGATTCAACAATTCTATACATTATGATTCTTAGTAATGTTATCAACAAAAATGTGGATATTCATCCCTTCTCTTGCCAAACCAGCCCCATTTCTTATGTATCTTAAAACTACAGAAGTATTTTCACTTTTGTGTCATTTCATGCCCCACAAAAACTGACAGTATCCGTACTTAAAATTTTTTATTAAATTCTATCCACAAGGATTGAAGATAGTTTATAGAATTTACCATTCTTGATTTTTAATAGTAATAAAATGTTCATAATAAAACATTTATTCTGGGAATTAGGGAAGCACTGTAGAATGTTATTCATGCATCTGCCTCCTTGAAACATACATACATATGAGAAATCTGAGATGCAGAATGGATTAAGTTGACTAAAAGAGCATTGGGAGGACTGGCAAAAGAGTAGACCTATAGATCAATGGGATAGAATTGAAAGTCCAGATATAAACCCATACATCTATAGTCAACTGATTTTCAACAAGGCTGCCAAACCCATTCAGTGGGCAAAGAATAATTTTTTCAGGAAATGATGTTGGGACAAGTAGATACCCACATGCAAAAAAATGAAGTTGGATCCCTACCTCACATCATAAAAAAATTAGCGTGAAATGGATCATAGACCTAAATGCAAGAGCTAGACTTATAAAAGTCCTAGAAGAAAGCACAGATGTAAATCTCCATGATCTCAGATTTGGCAATGGTTTCTTAAATATGACACCAAAAGTACAAATGACAAAAGGAAAAATAGATAAATTAGACTTTATCAAAATTAAACGCTGTTCTGCATTAAAAGACACTACCTAGGAAGTAAAAAGACAACCTACAGAATGGGAGAAAATATTTTCCTACCATGTATCTGATAATGGGCTAGTATCCAGAATATATAACAACCGAACAACAAAAAGACAATCCAATTTAAAAAATGGGCAAAGGACATGACTAGACATATCTCCAAAGATATACAAATGGCCAACAAGTAGAGAAAAAGATGCTCAGAGTCATTAGTCATCAGAGAAATTCAAATAAAACCTACAGTGAGATACCATTTTATACCCAGGAGGATGCCTATAATCAAAAACACCGTAAGTCACAAGTATTGGTGAAGTTATGGAGAAATTGTTGGTATGAATGTAAACTGGTGTACCACTGTAGAAAGAAGTTTGCTGTTTCCTTAAAACTGTTAAACATAGGGGCACCTTGGTGGCTCAGTCGGTTAAGCGTCTGTCTTCAGCTCAGGTCGTGATCCCAGGGTCCTGGGATCAAGCCCCGCATTGGGCTCCCTGCTCAGCGGGGAGCCTGCTTCTCCCTCTCTCTCTGCCTGCCGCTCTGCCTACTTGTGTTCTCTCGCTCTGTCAAATAAATAAAATCTTAAAAAAAAAAAAACTGTTAAACATAAAATCACCATATGACACAGCAATTGTACTAGACATATGCCTAAAGAATTAAAGACAAATGTCCAAACAAAAACTTGTACATGAATGGTCATAGCAGTACTGTTCACAATAGCCAAACAGAGAAAACAACCCAATTGCTCATCAGCTGATAAATGGATAAACAAACCGTAGTATATTCACACAATGGAATATTATTCCACCATAATGAGTAGTAAAAGACTGATATGTGCTACAACAACAGGAGTAAACCTTAAACACATTATGATAAGTGAAAGAAGTCAGATTGTTTCCCAAAGATTATTCAACCAGAAAATTCATTAAACTTTGTTATAACAACCACACAAATTAATAAAATCTCATTGTTCTGCCTAAAAAGAGATTTGCAGCTTCATCTTTGTATGTTTTTTTTTTTTTTTTTAAATTACTGGGAAGCCTACTTAGAAATACCAATTATAATAAACTTTGAATTCTTCACTCAAAAAAACAAAAAGAAAAGAAAAGAAAGAAGTCAGTTACAAAAGACCACATCTTGTAAGATTCCATTTTTACTAAATGTCTGAAATAGGCAAGTCAATAGAGACAGAAAGCAGATGAGTGGTTGCCAGGTTTCCCTGAGGAAGGGGGGATGGGGTGGGGGTGACTGCTTAATGGGGCTTCTTTCTGGGTGATGTCCTGGAATTAGGTGGTGTTAATGATTGCACAACACTGTGAATGTACTAAAAGCCACTTAATTGTATACTTTGAAGTGGTTAAAATGGTGAATTTTGTGTTATGTGAATCTTACCTTAGTGGAGAAAAAAAAAAAAAAAAAGCATGTGGGGTCTCAAGTTTCCTACTTCCACATTGGTGCTCTTTCCCCAACCCTGTATTCCGTGATTTTCTGAAACAGGACAGCCTTCGGATATATTCCTGTGGATTTTCCATGTAGCAGAAACTATTTTGCTCATCCCCAGTGTACATGAGAGGAGGTAGCACTAGTCTTTCAATCCTGAATACAGAGCTGTGCACAGACAGTTGAATAGCTAGTTTTGTAGAGAGAGTCCCAAAGTGGACATGGTAATCTGGGTCATCACATCACAGAGCATTCCTAATTAGAGGGCCACCTGGGGACCAGTATCTGCTAAAAAGCAAGAAAATTGCCGAAGGAGGAAAAATGGTAGATTCCAAACTCCAGGGACAATCAGCTAATCAGCTTCAGGACCTAGTGCTGAGGGCCATCTGCTAAAGGTCAGCTGGAGGAGATGGCTATCAAAATTTGAAATTTCGTCTCCATAGCTCTGATAGCTGCAGGGTCCAGCACGGGCACTTCAGCCACAATTGGAATCCTCAGCTTTAATTGTCAGATCATCAATTCCCATTGACTACCTGCTCTTGCCAGGATCCCTGGGTGGTAAGAAGGAGAAAGGGGGGGAAGATAAATCGTTGTGTGGAAGAAGGTTGATTGGCTGAGCCCTGTTGTGATATCTGACAGCCAATCTTTTATGAAATCTTCTGGGCTTTAGGACCAGGACTGGAATTTTGGGGAGCACTCAGAAATGCTCATCCTTGAAATAAAGGCTTCCTGAACATTCCCCGGGGCTCCCATTACCTGGGCTGGAGAGCATGACTCTGCAAGTGCTTGTTGGAGATTGAGCTCCAGTGTGATGTTCAGGAGCTCAAACTTCCTTCCCATCAGAAGGGCACTGTCTCCCTCCATGCACCCCCAACACAGGCACCAGACTGGTAAGCAACCTGCTTGCTTCTTGGTCTTACAGCCCAAAGGGAAGCTTGCTGGCACACAGGAAGGAAGCAATAGACTACTTTGCTGAAGATAATGGCCTTCAGCTTCACATTCTTATGGAAGTGTCATGTGTCTAACTTGCACTCAGGCCCGTGCATATGTGTTCAACAACTCAATTTTTACATCGAGCCTATGAGGCACCCATTGGTTTTCTTACCTTCAAGTCAAGATGCACATACTCAGGCTTAGAAGAATGAAATGATTTGCCCAAGGTCATACAAAAAAGCAACTGCTGGACCAGACCATTTGGTCTGTCAGAAAAGTAAATGTCAGTTTTACAACAACAACAATGGTGGCTACCAGTGGTAGATTTGAAAATGAGAGGAGTAGCAAAGAACAAAAAGAACAGACCAGGATTGCCAGGGCCGAGGAGTTGCGCCAGGCTAAAGCCAATTTTGAAAAGGAAGAAAGGTGTAAAGAACTTAAACGACTTTGGGGTGAGGATACATGGATGCTACCTGATGTGAATGAGCCAATTGAACAGTTCTCACAGGAACACTCTCTGAAGAAAAAGAAGAAAAAAGATAAACACTCAAAAAAAGTAAAGAAAGAGAAGAAAAAAAAGAGTAGGAAACAGAAGTATGAAAAAAGCAATGAGTCAACAGATAGTTCATCAAGCTCTGAAGACGAGTGGGTTGAGGCTGTCCCATTGCAGATTCCTGGCAGAGAAAAGGCCTGGAAAGTGAAAGGTGAAAATTCAGAAAGAGAAGACAACTCAGTTATTCAGAGAGATGAGTGGATGATGGTTGATTTTATGTCTGTTAAAACTGTGTCCTTATCATCACTCAAAGCTGACAAGGAGGCTATGAGGAAAATAGAGCAAGAGAAAACCCAAGCCCTGGAACAGTCCAGACTGCTGGAGAGAGAATTGAATCCATACTGGAAAGATGGTGGGACAGGTCTTCCACCAGAAGACTGTAACGTGTCATCACTTACCAAAGTTTCAGTAGTAGAAGATGGTGGCTTAAGCTGGTTGAGGAAGTCTTACCAAAGAATGAAGGAACAAGCTGAGAAACAGAATAGAAATTTTGAAGACATTGTGACTGAAAGATACAGGTCATTGGAAGTATTTCAGTCAAAATTAGAAGAAGCTGAAAAAACTGCATCCACAAAAGAAGATTATAAATGAGAACGGTGGAGGAAACCAGCATACTCAGATAAAGCACAAAGTAGTCAAGAAAGTAGAAAATCAGACTTGGTAAAATATAATAAAAATTTAAGGGATAGATACAGTTCAACAGATACTACAAACACCACCAATAAAGATAAGTCTAGTGGTGATGAAAAAAATAATAGGTTTGGGTCTTTAGAAACCTGTAGAAGACAATCCAATCCAAGGCAAAATCAAGACTTTTCTTCTCTTGGAAATTTGAAACCTAAATTTTTAAGACCCTCTGATGATGAAGAACTGTCATTTCATAGCAAGGGCAGAAATTTTGAACCTTCTAGTTCATCTTCAGCATTGGTTGCTCAGGATTCTGTGCGTTATGGTTTTCGAAAACCCACAGAAAACAGTGAAGAAAGTTCTTCATCGTGGAACCGATCCAACGGAAGAGAAGGAGACAGGAAATGTTCATATCGAAGATCATTAGAAACTAGGGGCGATGTGGACTCTGGGCACATTTCAGAAGACGTGAGAGAAAAATCACAAGATGAAAGCCTGAGAGATGACTCTCTGAAGAAAGAGCATCTACAGGACACAAAGTCTGCATTTGCCGGAGGTGGTCCTGAGGATGATTCCATCCACATCCTGAGTGTTGATGAGAAGAATAAATTGGGAGCCAGGATTATCAAGGCAGAGATGATGGGAAATATGGAATTAGCAGAATGACTTAAAGCTCAACTTGAAAAGGCAAATAAATTCAAAGGAACAGATATCCTCAAAAGAATCTGGGGTAGGGAATGAAGACCAAGAAGCAATCCTCGTCAGAACAGATCAGTCTGGAAGAGTGTGGCCTGTGCATACACCAGGAAAATCTCTGGAATGTAAAGGAGGAAGAAGGAAGAGACAGATGGTGTGTTTAACAGAGGCTTCAACCCATGAAGAAAAAGAAAGGGTTAGATACTTTCATGATGATGATAATCTCAGCCTAAATGATTTAGTCAAGAATGAAAAGATGGGAACAGCAGAAAATCAAAACAAACTTTTTATGAGGATGGCATCTAAGTTTATGGGAAAAACAGATGGAGACTATTACACTCTCGATGACCTGTTTGTCTCCAAAGCAGCTGAGAAAGAACGTTCTGGTGAAGAGGAAGAGAACCAGAGGAGGAAAGCAATTGCCGAGCACCAGAGTCTGGCTGCACAAATGGAAAGATGTCTGTATTGTTTGGACAGCTCTCAGTTTCCCAAGCACCTCATTGTTGCCATAGGTGTTAAGGTTTATTTATGTTTACCCAACTTCCGATCTCTCACCGAGGGGCACTGCCTGATAGTCCCTTTGCAGCACCACAGAGCGGCCACCTTACTGGATGAAGACATCTGGGAGGAAATTCAGATGTTCCAAAAATCATTGGTAAAGATGTTTGAAGATAAAGGACTGGACTGCATCTTTTTAGAAACACACATGGGCATGAAGAAGCATTGTCATATGGTTTATGAGTGCATCCCTCTCCCAAAGGAAGTGGGTGAGATAGCTCCCATCTATTTTAAGAAAGCCATAATGGAATCTGATGAAGAATGGTCCATGAACAAGAAATTGATTGATCTCTCTTCAAAAGATATCAGAAAATCTGTACCCAGAGGCTTACCTTACTTCGCTGTGGATTTTGACCTCCAAGGAGGGTTTGCCCATGTCATTGAATATCAACACAAATTCCCTCATTACTTTGGAAAGGAAATCATTGGTGGGATGCTGGATATAGAACCAAGACTCTGGAGGAAAGGGATCCGGGAAAGCTTTGAGGATCAGAGGAAGAAAGCCTTGCAGTTTGCTCAGTGGTGGAAACCATTCGACTTCACCAAAAGTAAAAAATGTTGAGTCATACGTTTCATTTTTTAAATTTCTTCTTCAGATTCCTTTCAGTTTTACTTCCATTGTGTCTGACTAGACCACTGACCCTCAGGCCAGAGGGAGAGAAAGTCCCACTCTGGGTCTCAGACACCCGGGCATCACTGGATCGCCTTTCCTGTCCTATCTTGTCCTGCGACTGCTTTGTAGTAACTGGGGAGCAAGACCAGAAACAGGGGGGCCCCACTCACATTCCCGTTCTGTACCCATGTCTTGGTGTTTTCAGCTGTGCAGTTTAAGATGTGGAAAGACTTTTCTGACGGATTATCTGGGAGGTACAGCAGATCGTTGGTTCAGAGGGAAGTGGGTCTGCTTCAAGATTGTGAAGACTATTGTCTGGCTTCTCTTGAATATTTTAAACCGAATTGCCATTTTCAGGAATAATTGCAATTTCTTTTCATAGCATTTTATAGAAAGGCTCTTTATTTTCTACCGGTAGTCACTGCTCTTCTTTTTATCAAAGGAAAAAGAATGTCCCAAGAATAATAAAGAATTAAATGAAAAAAAAAAAAGAAAAGTAAATGTCATCAGACTTTGAACGTAATGCACTCTGTCCTTTCATGTCTGTCATAAAGGATCACCTCTAAGCCCCACAAGCTCACTAGTGAACTCTCCGAAACCCAAAGTAGTTGGTCTTAATCTATCCTTCGACATCAACTGAGGGCAGGGGTTGAAGATGAAAACAGTATTGCTTGCCTCTCATGTATCACTGGCCAAAGTGACTCTGACCACCTGCAACTCGTACCTAAGGCATGACAAGAATCTTTAAAAATGACCAAAAATTTAGCTATGGCTTCAGAGCTTTAAAGCCATTCTGGTTCATGCCATTTAGCAGCTCACATAACACTGAAAGGCTTTGTTTGGTTTTAGAGCTCAAGGGCAAAATCCAGTCCTCTGACTGTTTTTGTTTTGTAAATAAAGTTTTATTGGAACATAGCCACACACATTTATTTACAAGTTGCTTAAGGTCCTCCTGTGCTACAAGGCTGAGTTGAGTAGTTGCATCAGAGACTCTATGACCCACAAAGCTTAAAATATTTACTACTTGGCCCCATACAGAGGGAGGTTTTAGAACCCTGTTTTATGGTTCAGGAGGGAAGGGCCCTCTAGTGCTTTCTCACTCTGAAGTGTACCTCCCAGTGTCAATGAAAGTGAATCGTGCAGGGCTGAGTTAGCTGTGATACTCCCTGAGAAGCAGTGATATAGAACACGGACTCTGGAAATCAGAAAATCCCAAGTTGTTCTGGCTGTGCACTTGTAGGGAAGTCACTCAGCTACTCTGAATTTCTTCATCCGTGAAGTACACATAATAACCTTACCTTACAGGATTGCCAAGTGCCTGGCCAAGGGCCTGATACATAGCAGGTCTCATTAAGTGATATTTTCTGAATGACTCCCCAAAGACTGCATTGCCACATGGTAAAGGCCTCGGTGACACTGGCATGTTGGAGGTCCGCACACACCAGCTCTTACTATCAGTGGGCTGGCAGGTTGTTTTGTACATCCCACAATGCTTGGCGCGCAGGAGGCTGAGTGCCTTGAAGCTTTATGAATAGAATGGAAAAGCAGAGTCATTTCAAAAAAGTAGCAGAACTGTCTCTTCTTTCCTTTTCCTCATTTGTCTTTCTCATGCCAGAGACCTGTTATCCTGTAGGCATCTCAACCTGCCCACTCTGATGAATAAAAAATGCACCAGGCAGTTGCTAATTGCTGATAGCTCCCTCCCTATTGATCTCTCCTTTGGCTCCACCATCTCATGTTATGGCATGAGCCTTCCAACTAATCACAATTGAGATGGGTCAGGACATAGAGACCCTGTTTAAATACTTCTGTGGCAGAGTGTCTGCAGGGAACACACACACACACACATACACGAGTACAGATGCATTTTAAGAGATGTGACAAGCTTCCCATCATATTTAAGGAGAGGGATGGGACAGATCATCAGCAAGATGGATCAGGACAAAATCTGGACCAACCTGTAATGGAAAGAAGGTGGCCCGTTGGATGTGAGGCAAAGCTTCTTTTTTGGATATGACCTTGTTATCAAATTATATTCTGCTAATATATCAGTCAAAGTTTTTGTTTAAGCAGAAGGAGATTCCATTAGGGGCAATTGCTATTACATAGAATTTCTTGGAGATTCACGTAACTACGCTTGGGTGCTACTCAGCCATAAGCAATGCAGCCAGGAGAAATGTCCAGCCACTCAGTGCAAATGTTCCAACTGAAATCCTGGGGCCATCACTACATTCCTTCAGTAGCCATTAGACTGCCAACCACAAAATCAAACTCCTCCTAACAACAATGCCCTCAACCACACACTTGCTTAAAGAGCCAGATCGCCACTGCCTCACCATAACTCCTTCTGCCTTCAAAGTCCTGAGTAAGAGTATCGGCTTGGTGGCAGACAGAATACCCCTGGAAGCCTGACTGCAAGGGAGGCTGGGAAATTTAGACTTTCGCTTACCAACATTTTAGTAAACCGGAATGCATGCCACGAGGGCATTGGAAGAGAGTTCAGTGAATCCATCTATAATGTCTGTAAAACCACAATTTCATTTTAAAGACTGCATAAACAAATTCCCTGGGAGGCTGAAACAGCCTTTTTCTTTATCCCAGGAGTATTTTCAATCCCTGGACATTCATAGAAATTTGAATCAAGAGGCTCCTGCTTTCCTTTGTAACTAAGATTGGTTACCAACTAACTAAAAGAAGTTAGACTTTTTGCATGCCATACTTTAGTCCCATAACAACCATATGAGATAAATGTTATTTATCCAGTTTAGCCTTTGGAAAACTGTAGGGTAGACAACTTAACTTGTCCTGTTTACACCACATATATGGTAGGTAGTATGTCTAGATATCCAAGGTATGCCCTTAGATCACCGGGTTGAGGAGCTTAGGATCTCCTACTTATTGGAGAATTGGATGAAACAACAGGTAGGAAATATTCGGTGGTTGTTGGTGGTGGTTTCTTGCTTGTTGTTTATTCTTTTTATTATTATTATTATTGTTTTAAGTGAAACTCCTTGAATGGGGAGACTTGGAGGAATTATGAGGAGTTGGGGAAGAAGCTCATTCGCTTGGCAATCTTTGTTTGGGACCCTGAGCAAAAGTTAAATAAATACATATTTACCCAAGGCAAGTCTTGCTTTTAGGAACATCTTTCTTTTATACTGCAGTGTTTTACTAGCACTCAGCCTCTGGATAGTAGCCAGGCTGTCGATTCAGAGTTCTATCTGGTTTGAATGTCATCCCTGATCCCTTTTGTTTGCATCTGAATGTAATTAGAACTTTCAAGGGCCTCTTACTATGGGCAGAAGTCCTTAGACAGCCCGCCCCCATATTAAATAAACCTATCTCTGATATCTTCAAAAATGCATGAGCACTGGGACACCTGAGTGGCTCAGTCGGTTAAGTATCTTCCTTCGACTCAGGTCATGATCCTGGGGTCCTGGGATCAAGCCCTGTGTTAGGGTGTCATGTTAGGGTGTCATGCTCCCTGCTCAGTGGGGAGTCTGCTGCTCCCTCTGCCCTCCCCCTGCTCATGCTTTCTCTCTTTCTCTCTCTCAAATAAATAAATAAAATCTTTTTAAAAAATGTATGAGCACATAGAAATGACCAGTCTGAAGGGTAGGCAAAAGGGGTGGGTATTAAGAGATTAATCTAGACTTAAGTATTGGCACAAAAAGTAACACTGTCTTCTCTAAATCATGATAACTCATGTACTCAGTCATCTACAAACACTGATTTCTTAATACTCTTTCTTCTTTTCAGAGTAGCTCATCAGAGTTAAAAAAAAATGGCCTCCAATGTTGTGATTCAATTGGCTAAATTCTAGAATTCTTGCCCTAGGGGAATCCTGCAGGCTCCAGGCAGTTGCGGAAATGGAATAAGTACTCTGACCTTCACTTCTATTTTTTGTTGACTTTGGACGAGGAAATCAAACCCCAACATCTTCATCTTGATCTATAAGCCATTTTGAAATTCTTAGCTGAACAGTGCTAGGGAATTGCATATAAAACTAATTATTACCTTGTAATGAAATGGTTCTGCAAATTACTGCTTAATAATACTTGAAGTCATCAAAAAGTTCAAAGATTAATTACCATGTAACTGGCAGTGTTTGGATCAGAAAATTAAGGTTCCAGTGACGAACAGAAAAATATCCACATAATTACACAGGTATAATGCAGCTTAATACATTCAGGAATATAGGCTTCTCAAAATAGCAGATTTTTTTTGAGAACATTAAGTAGTTTTTCATTATTCTCACTTCTCGGAATATTGGAGCCAATATCATGCTTGTTTACTAATTTATGTCTAATGAACACTTTCTCTTTAGCAAACACCTGCACCACCATGAAATAATTGAAATTATATCATTTCATAGGATATTATTGTTTTTGTCATGGATCATGGCAATTAATAGGCACATATTCTTTGGGGACATTTTTATGGACCTTAGGTGGCAAAAAAATATACCGCAGAACTACAAAATGTTTGAAACCATGTAAAGAGACTTTTAAGTTTACTGATGTACCATTTGAATCAAGGAGTTTTAAGTTTATTTTATCTTTCTATCCTTTCTATATCCTTGCAAAGAGAAACTCTTGAAGACAAGCAATTAGATGGGGTCAACATGTCCCTCCAGAGCTTCTAGGACAGAGAGAAAGCTGCAATCTGGAACCCAAGTACATTCCTTCCATAAGCCTATTTGGTATGTGACACTCCACCTCCTGTTATTTCCAATGACACCATCCTCACTCTACATACCTCATTTCAAAGTTTGGCTGAGGAAACTGGCCTCTTATGTTTTGGGGGGATTTTTTTTTTAAAGTGAGACATAATTTAAAAAATTGAATTTGGCAAGCTGTGCCTGGTTCAAGCAGGAGCCATATGCTAGCAACCACCATCTGGCAAGTTCGTTTCAGAACACTTTTGGCATGTCATCTACCCTATCTGAAAATGTTTGCTCTACAGTTACCTGGCTGATTGTAAAAAAGAAGGTCACTTAAGAAGAGAGAAGTGGAATATAAGGGAATGGAGGGAGGAAGATTGGCCAGAAGGAGAGAAATGAATCACCTGATTTGAGGACAATACCTT